TAAACACAGAGACTCAGGGCAGATCTGCATTGAAATCATCATATTTATGTGAGGAAAGATTATAGATGAGTAATCAGTGCCAACATTGAAACCTGTTTGTCTTATTGTCCCGCAGCCTCAGACTTAGTTTGATGAAACAGCAGCGTCTGTCACCACTGCTCTTCTGTCTGCTTCCAAACGAATCACGGAGCAAAAGCGCACGTTTAGTGAGCAGAATAAGTTGTTCTTGTGAGAGTATGTTTTTACTTCCAGAGGAAAAAAGTCGGAGTCAGTGAGCCAGGAGGCCACCACCACCATCATCATCATCATCATCAGCAGCAGCAGCAGCAGCAGCAGCAGCAGAAGCAGCAGCAGCTACGGAGGCCTGTGCGCAGCTGCGGTCTGTAGATGGCGCTCAGACAGTGTTAGACAGCCTGCTGAGGGTCGGTGGGCTCAGGCTGAAGCTGCTGAGGCAGGCCGGGGTCAAAGGTCGATGCTAAGACTACTGTGAGTTATGCACGCCTATAATCTCTTCCGGAAGTCAATAGACAACGAAAAAAAAAAAAAAAAAGGTAAAAAATGCAAGACAGTTTAGAGCTAATATCAATTTCTTAAACGCGTTCTTTTTCCCTCCTTATTATTAATTATAAACTAAAGTGACATCAGTCCCGTTTGTTAACATTGATTTACAAAAAATAATTTATGAGACAGACACAGTCTAACGCTCAGGACCAACCTGTGCTTGTGATTTACAGCTTTAATGGACTTCATAGCAAACGGGTTCTTATTGCGCACCCTCTGGACACGTTTCAGGACGATTCTTCCTGTTGTTTCTGCATCCCCCCCCCCCCCCCCCCCCTTTTTTTTTTTTTTTTTTTTTTGCAGAAAGCGGGGGAGGAAGGAGCTTCTGGTACAATATGTAGCACCATGGGCTGTAATTTCACACGTCAGTGCACTTTTGCCCTAAAGCTGCTGCTATTTCGCCCACAACAGCCCTATTTGCCCCCCGTACCTCTGCGCGCACTGCCACAATGACGTCCCCGTGTCACAGCGCAACAGCAAAACAAACCGCGCCATGATTAAGAAGCTGTTAGTCTCTGACTTCAGCCTCTTTAAAAAAAAAAAAAAAAAAAAAAAAAAAAAAAAATCCCGGCCATAGAGGAGCTGATGCGATTTTTTAATTTTCAATTTTTGGCCTGATTTGTGCAATTAAGACGCTCCGGACGTGTTGTTTCACATAACCCTTAAAATAATATAATGAATATAGCTAATCCTTAATAATGCCAATGTTAGTTTTAAAAAGTCATCTGAATTAAGATGATTTAACTCAAAACAACAAGATTATGCACGAAGGCCCCTCAATAAAAAGGAGAATTTCAGATGAAAAATTCGACTGACAAAGAAAGGCAAAGAGGACTAAACAAACGTGAATGGCCTGTGACGCACGCACAGGTCAGCAGTCCATTGTTCCTGTTGTCTAATTGTTGTTGCGGGCCACGAATGAGACCCCAAAAATCTCCTGACGCCCCCCTTCAACACATAAACGCATCTTTCAGAGGATCTGTTCGTAAGGAAAAAAGTTGCCAAATAGGATTAAAAATTACAAACAGAAATGTGGGTGATTTCTATTTATTATTTGACATATTTAAGTAAATGAAATTCAAGTTTTAATGCATTAAATTCATATTTTTTTCATCACAAACAAAACGTTGGGCGAATAAAGAAAAACTGAGGTTGAAGCTTTACCAAAAAAAAAAAAAGAAAAAAAAAAAAAAAGCCAGGTTGGAAAACTGTTCCACATTCCCCCTCCACCACCAGCACCACCAGCACCACCTTATTAGTTAAAACATCAGCATCATATCAGCAGCCCCTCGCAGCATCTCCCACAATGATCTGGAGTCTCCTGACACCCACAGCCATATGGGCAGGCTCTGCCACTCTGCAGGATATCAGCTGCGTCCTCAGATTGCCCATTCATGCGCTTTATTCCGGGGGAGCAGATGGATATCCATTTGACTCTATTCTCGACACAGTCGCAGATTGATTTTCTGGACTCGCTTTTAATTTTGCCATAATTAATTAGATCATTACAACAGTTTTCCCATTGATCCTTCAGTCTAAAAGCACCCTCCCCCCCTCAAAAAAAATAAAAAAATAAAATAAAATAAAAAATTGAGAGGTGAATTTAATAGTGATAGTGATTTCAGTTAAACTCCTAAAACACAAGGGATGAGGGGCTTTGCAATAATAATAATAATAATAATAATAATTATTATTATTATTATTATTATTATAATAATCTACTTTAAAGAAACCAAAACGAGATCATTAACATATTTAATTTTTTTATTTTTTATTTTTTTAAGCAAAGTAATTATAATATGAGAAGTCCATATGTAAACAGGAAGCTTTGCAGCCTTCAGAAACCTGCAAACAAATGCTGACATCAGCGTGAGTCTCCACTGGATCGTGCCGCGCCATGACGCACGGCTCTCCCTTGTCTAATGGTGCGTCTCCCCGACGCAGCCCAGCAGATCTGTCCGGCCTCCTGCGCTCCCTCCCCGGCTGGGAGTCTCCGTTCTCCCCGCTGGTTGTCAGAATCTTTGAGCGATCATCCACAACTAAACGGTTTAGGCAACAACAAAAAGAGGAAGCAACTCTGCTCCAATGAGCTACGAACTGATAAAAAGAGTGAGAGAAAGAGAGAGAGAGGGAGGAAATATATAGAGAGCGAATTAAAAGGAAACTCAGAGATAACGAGGAGAAAAATTCAACTGTTCTCTCCTCACAATGCTAAGTTTACATAATCCAGGCCTTACTTTTTTATTATTTATAAATGCTGGCTTATTAAAGCTGAACGGTGAATTATGACAATTCATATCATCATAAAGAGACAATGTTTGCAACTGTTTTTATTTACTTTGAAAATCCATCACTCTGAAGCACCAGTCATTTGTTTAAATTCTTAAGCCACTTTCCACCCTTAAAAACTTTATTTCCCACTAACTCACAAACCTTGAGCGAAAATTTAAAAGAAACAATAAACAAGAATTACAAAATTATGAATCCTGTAATTTTGAATAAATGTTTTCAGTGAATACTGTCAAAGGAAAACAGGTACCACTTTACAATAAAGCTCTCTTTATAGCTGGCTAATACATAGTTTATAGATATTTTTCTAATTCCTCTATAAACACTTTATAAGTCATGAATAACTGCTTATTATGTATTAATTAAAGGTGACAGAGAGACAAAGCTGACCAGTTTCTTGCCAAATAGTGCACGAGCCAAATCTGTTCACCTATACATATATATGTATAAGTAACTACCTTGCAGCATAATAAGCATTTGCAAACTTATTTTTTAGGATTTAATATTAGTTGTAGATACTTAAAATACAGTGATAAAGTACAATATTATATGCTAAAGAAACTGACAAATGTTTATTGTGCTTAAGGTAGTAACTTAGTCTGAAATGTTTAATATAACAACTCTAGATGAAATATATGTGAACAGATTTGGCTCAGAAACTGGTCTGTTTTGTATCTTTCACCCTTAATTAATGGATAATAAACAGTTATTAATGATTTATAAAGTGAGGAATTAATAACATATCTATGAACTATTTATTAGCCATCTAAGGGGAGCCTTATTGTAAAGTGGTACATGCAGGAAAACATTTAGTTGAGCCAGAAAAGAAAAGCAGCACTGAGGAAACTTTATGTGTTTAACAGTGTCCGGGGATACCAAAAAAAAAAAAAAAAAAAAAAAAAAAAAGTATAAGGGAGAGAATAAAAGTTAGTAACTGGAACATTAACAGATGAATAACCAGTAAAAAAGCTATATTACAATATCCACAAGAACGACAGAGCGTGGTACAGCTATAAAATCCAACATTAAAAGATTATAGCTTTTCTATCGGCTATTTAACAAACATTTTGTGTTATAAGACTCTTTACAGTGCTTGAAGTTCAGAGATGGCTATAAGGCTGCCACTGGACCAAGGACCAGTAATGGATATAGTGGAACACTTTATTCTCAGCTTCAAGTGTTCTTTACTTAAAATGCCATTTGAACACGAGGCTTGCTGCTGGCTTTAAAAGTAATCATGAATAGCTTTATGACATATGGATTTAAATGAAGAAATAATAATCTCACCCAAAATGTGACAAAATAAAAGATACATTTGAGCCAAATTTTAAAACAAGTAAGTAATTCAGCTCAGTATTTAATTTAGTCCTTTTATTCTGAAACTTAAAAAAATCCATTTAGGAAATTTGTCTTTTATGCTTCACACTAAAATCAATAAAACACGCTCAGAGTTTCAGCTCGACTCATATCTTGTTTTTAAAATGTGACATTTAAATACAAAATAAGTAAACAACAACAACAACAACACAATGATCTTCTGTGAGTGTTCTTCCTTGATAACTATGATATTCTCAAGTCTCCTGTGATTCTGCAGAAGCATCCAAACAGGAGGAACCAAGTTGAGGATCGTAGTGGTCATGAAGATGTGGGTTGTCAGTTGCACCCCATTTATGGTGAATTGGGGGGGGGGGGGGGCTGCAGGAGAGGAAGGTTGAAAATTGAGAGAGAGGAGTCAGTTTGGTTGGTGGGGGGAGAAATAAAGGAGATCTTATGGTGCAGTCCATTAGACTGGTCAACAGTATCTACTCTGTCCCAGACTGCCGGAGGGTGGGAAGAACGGGAGTGTGAGTGGTGGAGGGGGTGAAGGTTAACTTTGAGGTGTGTTTCTATAAACTTTCACTTCCTGTCTCCTCGTCACGCACAGCCAAACTTCCCACCTGCACATCCACCCTTCAAACTCAAATCCACTGCCAGCCTCCTTTCCTGCATCTATTTATTTATTTATTTCAAAAAGTCGTGTCCCACTTGCTCACGGGCTGAACATTAAAGACCCCTCCCACCGTTCACCCTTCATGCTCCCCCACCTCCCCCTGGCACCACCTCCCTGCCCTCACTTGAAGGCCGCGGTGACTCCAGGTGGCGCCCATCATTTATCATCACACCGTGAGATAAATCCTTTTCAGCTCAAAACAAATTAAAATAAAATATTCTCCTTCTAGAGCGGTTCAGTCTATTGACCCTTCTCATCTGGACCGCCGAACTGAGGCAAGAACTGAACAAAACGCTTCCCGCCCGGTCTGGATGTTTTGTTTGGAATCTGTGCTGAGCGACAGCCAGCATCATCATCATCAACTCTTGCCAGCTTTTCATATTTAAAGCCAGCGAGGGTTTAATTACCAAATGATGACAGTGTCATATGGTACCACCATGGCACAGAACTGGTGTTTGAAATGTGTGTGCGTCTGCTTCATGCGCAGTTGTTTGTGGCGGAGAGTGAACACCTCTGTGTGTTAATAGCACATGAAGGGCCTGGAGAGGCAGAGACAGCCAGCAGGGGTAGGAGAAGAAAAAAAAAATGGGGGTGGAGATGTGGGGTGTGGAGAAAGAAGAAGCGCAGTAAAACATGTGTAATTTGTGATTCCCCAGTATTCAATGCTTGCTCATGGATTAAAGATTAAAATCTATTGTCTTGACAGATGGGAGAGTGAGGATAAGAAGAGGGGGACACTCATGCACAACCCATTTCCATTTGTATACGAGAGGCACGGTTTGGCTAATCACAGTGGAAAAATAAGCTGTCTGCTCGCCTCACTCTGGGCAATGCCACCACCAGCCTTAATTCCAGCTGTGGAGACATTAGAGCCAGAATGAGCGCTCGCTCTGTCGCAGCCTGCGAAGACTGTTTAATAATAACGGGGAATGAAGATCAGCAGGTGTGTCTTCCAAGGTGAAAGAAAGGCTCTCTACTCTAAAAAAATATAATAATTCAATGTTCATTGTTAACACAAGATGCATGAACTTCTTGTTTAGTCTGTGTGGTCTGCATTGAGAGAGCTGTGTGTGTGTGTGAGGGGTAATGGGCTGGTCAGTGGAGTGAAGCAGACCACCTGAGAGTTGTTTTTGGGCATTAGTGTGTGTTCTCCCTCTCTCTGCCTTTCTCTGTGTGTGTGTGATATATGACACTGGCCATCTGAAGGAGGCACCATGGTCTCCCTCTCCAAGCTGCATGAAAGGGAGCCGAGAAGCCCCGATGAATTAAAGCCTCTCTTCAATAAAACATCAGAGTCTTTCAGTAACACACGCTTGAGATGCCCCAGTAATTGACTTTTGGACTTTAGGATTTACATGAACCCTCCAAAAGCAGCTTACCTGTGCAGTGATGCCCCTTGAGTCCGCAGCCGTTCCTCGCCGATGCGGATTTCCATAAACTCGTGCAGTCTTTTAATTCATTTATTTTCTTCTGATGTGATGAACAAAAAACTACCCACTGTAGATAATTTGGAGGATTTATTAAGTGTCTGAATGTATTTCTTTTGACCTAAAACAAATCACTAAAATGAATCTTAATCCAAAGAAATCTCGGGTATTTCAAGGCCCGCAGATCCAGTTCAGTTCGCAGAAATCACCATTTTGTTCTGTTTATTCATGAAGAAACTATGTTTTTATTTTTTATGAGATTGAATATTCTGTCATGTTCACCATGATTTGAAGATAAAATGTAATATCATACTTAAGCAAAATACTGCATTTCAAAATAAAATAAAATGTTTTATTTGATCAAATCGTCTTAGATGACATCATTAATAATTCCCTTCTGATGCACCTATGAAGTACTGGATTTTAAACCTAAACATTTTGACCGTGCCACTACATTTAAGTTATTTTAGTTGCTCAAAGTTGTCCAAAATCCTTTTACATTTTACTTTTATCACAGCAAAAACAATTAAAACTTAACTATGCAGACAATTTGTTGGTCTATTCCTCATAAATGCCATGACCCAAAGCTTAAATCTACCAAAATATTCAAACAGGAGACTGGAAGTATTACACATCAGGTTGCAGATAAACATTTTGAAATGTTTCATTAGACAGGCTGTTGCTGGACAAAGTTGCCAGTTTTCTCACAGTCGAGAATAAACTCTTTACCACGAAGGCAAACGTAAGAGTGAAGGAAGATCTATGGGAGGGGCAGAGGAGCTTGGCAGATTTAATTAATCACTGCATATTAAAATGTTTGTTTACAGAAGTGAACAGCTACAAGAGGTTCGATGTTAATTAATTTAAGGCGTACCCCCCATCCCCCACCCCCAGCCTCAGCGATGTGTCACAAGCTGCAGAGCGACTCCCTTTGGCAGGGACTCTGCGTCTCATTGGATATCCATCAATTGCTGTGAGGTGTGTAAGAAACAAAGAGGCACAGAGCACAAATTGGGCCCAATGTTAACATGATTGCATATTAAGATTTCTAATTAGCAGGAAAAAGAAAAAGGTGAAGTAGTTTAGTGATGTGTGATGCATGGATGGTCACTCGACTTAGACAACATCCGAGACAGAAAAGGTTTCTGTGGAACGCATCTTTTTTGAAGTCACTGATGCTCTCGATGTTGAGCAGCGTGATAAACGCATGGAGCGGTGACAGATGCGTTTGTTGGACTGACTGAGGTTGTTTCACCCAGGTGTAAGGTCTCTGGAGTTTCCTCGCTGGACAATGATGTATCTGACTCCCCTCTGAGGTCAGCTGGACAGAGTCCAGAACATAACCTGCAATCAATAGTGTTGGTAAAGCAGGTCCAGCTGAATGCATGTGAGGGCAAAGCCTCGGCTCAGAAGCCCATTGTAGGGAGGGGGAAAAGGCCGGTGTGGCCCATTAGTTCGTTCAAACCAAACCACAGCCGGTCTGGACACCTGGTATGATGGTGTCTTCACCAGACATGAGGAACGCTACTTCGCGGTTCGACTTTCATGGACTCGCTCTTTCACAGTTTTTCAAAGTAAGATCATACACGAGGAAAAAAAAAATTGTGCACGACACAAGATTGTCAACTTTAATATTACTCACGTGATTGGGACAGTACAGGTTACTGTACAGTAAAAATGTAACGAAAAAATAAAATACTTAGGACAGGCACCGCCATTTTGTAGTTTTTTTTCTCCATAAGCCTACACCTTATCCCCACTCACAACAACTACATTTCCCAGAAGCCAACAGTGCCACACCCAAAAGTTTTGATCAGATCGGAAAAAGTTCGGTCCTTATTCATTCAGTGACTTCTGTGCCCATGCAGAGAGCCACACGGAACCCACCGGGAACTGGACCAGAATCGGAGTCGAACCGTGCCTCCAGAATCATCAGTCAATCTGAGAGCTGCTTGCCGGCCCATGAGCACTTCCGAGCGGGGACGTGCTGCCCGTAGGTCTGGAGCCCACCATTACTATCCCAAGCCAGAGAGCCGACCAGAACTGGCAGGGTAGTTCTGCCAAAACAGAACCAAGTCGGACTGGAACCGAGCAGAACCGAGCTGCTGCTGTTCTGCAATGTTGTTGAGTAAAATTTAGTATCTACATATACAGTACTGTACGTATGTTGTTAAAATGACGTAGGTTTCAGAATACAGAACATTGCAAGAGTGTGGGAAGGGTTTCTAAAGTCTTAAAATATATATAAATACTAAAATAAATATAACGTCCCTACATTGCAGATTTTCACATTGCGGGAGGGACTGCTGTAATAAAAAAAAATTAAAAAAAAAAAGACAAAAAGAGTAGAAACGAAAAGTTGAAGATAAGAGTAAGAAAAAATAAACTGAAACTAGAAAAATGGTGTTTTATATGAAAATGTGATGTGGACATCACAAAAGACTGCTAAACTTTGTTGAAAAAAAAACCTGAAACTGAGTTGGTAAAGCTAAAAGAAACAGAATGCTAGCTAAAAGCTAAAATAAGCTAAATGATAGCTGAAAAACATTTTTTTTTACAAAATTCTAGTTAAAAGCTTAGCAGCAAAACTTTAGCTAAAATAGCAAAATGCTAGCTATAAACTAAAAATAGCAAAGGATTACAACTAAACGTCAAGCAATGAAAGGAAAGGTAAAAGCTAATAGGTAAAATAATTTGTGCATTGTGTAACTAACAGCTAATCTAACACTCCTTAAAATGTCTTTCGTTATTTGTTGGTATTTGTTGTCTTATACAAGAGGCATCATGCTGTTAAAGAGACTCAGACCCAGCGGGGAGGTAAACACTGGCTGCTTCAGTGGGAAAAAAAAAAAACAGAATTATTTCCCTCCAAACTTAATATTTATCCTTCTTGATGTGGGATATGATACACAATCTACAGTTTAGTACACTCTTTGTTTACTTCCAGCTTCATTTACACACAGATTTTACAAAGCAAAACTCATGTTTACACTCAAAATGAACTTGTAGCTCAACCACTGGATAAAATAAATTCATCCTTTGCAATCTGTTTGCATCATCTACAGTATTTCCACAGCAAACATACAGGTTGTTTGTGTATCCTCATTTCTCTGCTTGAAACTAAAATCTGCAGCAGGACTTTCAGGTGTGTTGTTCTTAAAGAGTTGAGCATGCACACACACTGCCCTGCGTAAAGTGATAGTTCAGTGGGGTTCAGTGAAAAGGTTATGCACAAATATTATCTTACCTGCTGTAGACAGCTCTTTGATTTACTTTAATTTGGAGAAATTTGCTTGAGTCCTGGCAGGACAGATGAGCTAACGCAGCGATACCCACACTTTTTCAGCATGCAAGCTATTTTTAAAATGACCAAGTTCAACTTATTAAACAAAACATATACTTATTTATAAACATGTTAAGTATGCTTTATTTGTTGCAACTGTAATCATATTTCCTGATACCTTGATAGTTTTGATTGAAGATAATATTTATGGTTTCTTTTTAAAGTCTCGGAACAAAGAGTCAGCTGTTTCAACTAATACTTTGTTTACCATCTGTCATAGCTCTGCTCTCTGTCAGCTCCTCTGTCATGCTGCACAC